GGTCTGTTTTCTAATAGCACTTTCATTACTGAATGAGTCAAGCTCTTCAGCGCCCAAATCATAGTCTCTGATTTTAAAGAAATCTGTTACTATCAGACCCTGAATGATTTGGTGGCTTTCTGCCTTAAAAGGATTCAGGAAACCACTCTCTTTTAACTTTTACTTCCAGAAAAATCGTCCTTTAGTGTCTAGGGAGACCCTCTCTGGAGAGATTGGATGCAGATCCAAGGACAAGGACCCCAGGATCTGTGCTTTATAAGCCTGTACTTGATGGAGGTGGACCTGGGAGAGAATTTTGGTACAGAGCCTCACTAATCCTGCTCTTGTGTGGCTTTGAGTTTTTTAGTGCATTCTTATTTAATGTCCAGTTTTTCCTAACTTTAAGTTAGTGCCCTTTTATTTTTATTTTTTTAATATATTTGTATTTTATTGATTTCTTACAGAAAGGAAGAGAGAGGGACAGAGAGTTAGAAACATCGATGAGAGAGAATCATCGACCAGCTGCCTCCTGCACACCCCATACTGGGGATGTGCCCGCAACCAAGGTGCATGCCCTTGACCGGAATCGAACCCGGGACCTTTCAGTCCGCAGGCCGACGTTCTGTCCACTGAGCCAAACCGGTTTCGGCTAAGTTAGTGCCCTTTTAAAGCAAAAAACTATGTTTGGGGTTCTTTTTTGCTTCCCCAAAAAGAAAACTATAAGAATTCACTAACTAAATATGTACCTTAAAATATGAATCTATTTTTAATAAAGTAATATAGCTACATTTATATCTGTGTTTCCGGAAGTATACTGTTCACATATCAATTTGATTTTTTTTTCTAACTTGTATAGGTCTTAACTTTTAAAAAAATAGCTTATTAATGTGCTTTAGAAATTACATTTCATTAAGTATAATTTTGGCTAAAATTTCATAGTATTTAGGGGAAGGAAGGATTTAGACTCAAATTGGAAAATAACAACAAAAAATAACAACTGGAAGATATTATTTAAGGTTAGTGTTTAATGATAAATTGCACCAATCAACAACTTAAACAAATAAAAAAAGAAAACCCTCTGCACGCCTGACCAAGAAATGAATAGACTGATTTTTAGTCACATTTGGGAAACAGATGGTAGAATTATTCTGTGTGCAGACTGGTGATCCAAACCATATACCTCAGCTATCAAAATATCAAAATGAAGTAAAATGTCATTGGCATTCAGATGACAGTGGATGATGTTTCATAGTCTTTGATTTTCTGGAAAATAGAGAACTTTACTAAATGAGAATTGAAAGGAAGGAAGAAAGGAAGGAAGGGAGGGAGGGAGGGGGGGGGGAGGGAGGGAGGGAGGGAGGGAGGGGGGGGGAGGGAGGGAGGGAGGGGAGGGAGGGAGGGAGGAGGGGGGGGGTTGGAGGGAGGAGCGGGCTCTTGGGCGTTGGTAGGGGTGGTCGGTCGGTTCTTCGTTTTCTTGTCGTAGGTTTTGGTGGTGTGTTCTTTTTCGGTCTTGCTTGCTGGGGTCTGTCACGCCACCCCCCCTCCCTACCACCACTCACTCCCTCCCCCCCTCCCGCGCCCCCCGCCCCCTCCCTCCCTCCCCTCCCGTTTTCCCCCGTGTCGCCTCCTTTTTGTATCTATCATCTCATCAGGCTCAAAATATTTTCTCTGTGACCAGATTCATAGAGGTTATGAAAAGATGAGACAACTCAATTTGCTTCCAAGTATTGGGATCAGTCCCTGTGGTCTGTGCCAAGCTGAGGCTTAGAAATGTAATTGGCTTTAATTGTAATTAATTGAATTAATCACAGTCATACTGTGAGTCTAGGCTGCTTGAGATTCTATTTCAGCAACTTTCTGTTCATCTCCACATTTTCTTTTCTTTTCTTTTTAAATGCAAAGTCAAGAAATAGTGAGGAAAGGTGTATAAATGTGGGTGTTTCTTTTTTTCCTTTTTTGTTGCAGCCATTTGTGCATAGAACATTTAATTATACAGAAGAGATAATTCTTCAAGATATGCATGGTTACAGAATTGTATTTTAACTTATTTTTTTTAAAGGCCAGATTTTCATTTTAACTGAGTTCTACCTGTTGGGCCACTTTTGTGCCAAATGTCTATAAATTAATGAGATAAGGATTGAAACAAGAAGAAACTCTAGCCTCTGTGCTAAGGTGGGGAGGAGGCAGACTAATATTGAGAAAACCAGAGGTTAGTCCCTGGTATGTGTTACAGAAACTGAGTAATATTGGACGAGTCATCACTATTATCATTACTTTTCTTCTTTATGATAGTGTTAGCATACTTTCAGGGAAATGCACTGCCATTCAAGAGATTGTTTCTGTTCATATACAATGACATGGAGTATTATAAATGGGCTCTGATCAGGTTTTGTTTCAGAACTTGTGACATTTCCCACTTATTTTTTTCCACATAAACTTCATTTTTCTCTTCCACCCAATATTAAGTTCTCCTCAGGCCAGAAGCAATATTGTTGCCTTCAGCATCCAATAAGTGTTCACCAAGATAACTCCTGATCAGGAGTTAAGACTCTTCTTTATTTAACATCATTTTCTTGCAGGCCATGGCCAAGTGGGTAGCTCAGTTGGTTGCGGGGTTGCTCCGATATGCCAAAGTTGTGGGTTTGATCCCCAGTCAGGGGACATATAAGAATCAACCAATTAATGCATGAATGAGCAGAACAAATCAATGTTATTCTCTCTCTCCCTCCCTCCCTTCCTTTCTCTGTCTAAAATTAATAAATAAATAAAAGTAAATAAAATTATTCCCCTACATGTAAATAAGGCCTCCTGTAAAGAGGCTGCTCTTTTTGCAGTCAGAAAAAAATGGTTTAACCCCAACTCCCCTATTAACTAACCATGATCCTGTAAGTAAGCCATTTAACCTTTCTGTTGCCTTAGCTTCCTCATCTACCACATAGATATAATGGTATTTTAAAGCACATTATAATGATGAATAATGAGTTATTTGACAAGTTAAAAATAGATGGTTTGTGTAAATGTGTGGTCACACTTCATACTCTGGGTGCTCACGATCAGTGTCCATGTCTTATTAAAACCCCACCTGGTCCTGGTGCTACCTGTGAAGGGAGAACTTTCCCAGTTATAGTCCAGACTTGGACTGGACCAGATCTCCTACACTGTCCTTACTCTGCTGCTCAGTAGTTATATGACCTATTAGAAAGTTTGACATTTTGAACTACTGTAATGGCCGTACCACACCAGGGAATTCATGAGCCTCCTAGAGCCCTTAATTTTCAATTCTAGAAGCCCTCCTCAAGAGAGAGAAGCTGGGTCAGCCTGCTTTCTGTCTTAAGCAAGTATATGAGTCATCAAGCCACAGCTTCCTGATGAGACTGGAAGGGACAGCCAACTCGGGTTCTGGGCAGGAGAGCACAGGTTCATGCATAGTTCAGGTGTCCTGCTCTCAGAGTTCTGTCCCCAGATCCTCATGGATGGGCCCTAAGGACTAGTTCATCCAAGCACAGTTTGAGTACACATAGTGAATGCCTTACAAAGAGTAAGTACTTAATATTTTCAAAATCCTATATAATAAAAGCCTAATATACTAAGTGTCTGGTCGGCTATTCAACCAATCAAAGCATAATATGCTAATGATATGCTAAGGCCACTCAACCGCTCACTATGACATGCACTGACCACCAGAGGTAGATGCTCCAACTGGTAGGTGAACTTGCTGCTGAAGTCCGGCTGATCAAGACTGAGCAGGATGGGCCAGACACTCCCTGGAGCCCTCCTGTGCTCCCTCCCCAGTTGGCCAACCTCCCACATCACTCCCTGACCCCAATTGTGCACTGGTGGGGTCCCTTGGTTTGGCTCTCACCCTCTAGCAATCTGGGACCCCTAGGGGGATATCAGAGAGCTTGTTTTGGCCCAATCCTACAGGCCAGGTCAAGGGACCCCACTGGTGCATGAATTTGTGCACTGGATCGCTAGTAAATTAATAAAGTATTCATGTAATGTATATAAAATACTACATTATGCATAATTCGGGGAGACACATAAGAAACTATAACATGGTTATATACCAAATATCTTAATTTACTTCAAAAGATAATACAAGCATATATGAAATATTTGAACATTCAAAGTGGGGGGTTAAGTAATAGAATACTGATTTAAAGTATAGGGCTACCAGAATTCAAAGACATGGGGGACCAGTGGCACAGTCTCTCAGGAAGTGAAACTGGAGATGGATTTTGAAAGATGGATGGGATTTGAGAAGACAAAAGGGTACAGGCATTTCAAGCATGACACATTATCTAGAAATGGAAATATAGGTGTGTTTGCTTCACTCTTTACTTTTGGGCAATGCAGGGGTAAGGGTGAGCATTGGAGGTGGGTATTTAAAACAAAATAGCTTATAACATAAAATATATATCATAATATAACTATTGAAAAACTCACCTGTGTACTAAGATGTATGTGTAAAAATATTGTTCAAAATAGTAAAAATTTTGCAGTGATTTAAATTCTGTCAGGGGAATGGTTAAATAATTAAACATACTAGGAAGTAGATTGAAGAATATAGTAGGTCTCAGTGTGCCAACACAGAAAGACCACCAAGGAAAGACACAATAGAATATTAAAGATGAAAATGCATTTATGTAATATTTGTCAACTTTGAACATTGATTTTAAAAAATCAAAGTGGTATTTCAGGAAGATGAATGTGTTAGCATTGTGTCAAGTTAAAAGGGAGCGATTGAAAGTGAAAGAGTATTGGGGGATGTTTGCTTGAGTACAGACACAGGAGGCCAGAAACAGGCTTGAATGGTGAAGAGAAAGACCCCAGAGACCTTCTGAAGACTGACTTGGAAGGATTTCATGGCAGATTCTTGATAGAGGGGATGAAGGCAAGAGAGGGAGATTTTTTAGGTTCCAGCTTAGGAAATATACACTGAAGATTGATCTCTACTAAGGGGAGTAGACTGATGCTAATAGGAAACTTTTAAAGAATTTCTGTATCTTTTTGTTTCTCAGGATGGAAGAAACAGTACGAAATCTATTGCAGAGTCAAGGACCTCCAGAGCAGAAAAAAGAAGACACTGTTAATATAATGGTCTATCAGGTACACCACGGTTCTTACACTCGAATGGGTACTGATTTTCTCATATTTCTCTAACTCTGTCCTTCCTAATTCAGAGTGATATAAATAAGTATGGGCCAGACCCTGGTGCTGGGATCCATATGGTTACCTCTGTTTGAGGAATCATGTGCACATTTATTTAACTCATTCTTATTTTGAATTCCTACTGTGAAACAGATTATAGATTCCGTTGTAGGAAGATATAAAAAGTAAGTTTGCTGTTGTTACTTCCAGACTCGCCTGCCCTCTCACTGTGAAACCAAGAGACGTATAAAAATATCGAAGTACTCTGTGCCCAGGGCTATGAGAGAGGTAGCTCCCACACTCCCTGGAAACACAGGGCAGGGGTGACCTACCCTGTCTGGAAGCTAAGGATTATTTCTCAGAGAGCTATGCCTCTTTTGATGGGTCTGGAATAGAGGACAAGAGGAAGGACCCTGGGGGCAGCAGGAAAGTCTAGCTGAGGTACGGTGGTGTGTATTTGCATGGCAGGCACATGGAGAATGAGAAGTTCAAGGTCATTAAATAATGGTCTGGGAAGAGGAAAGGTTGACTGAGACTGAGGGTGCACGGGAGAGCTGGATGAGGCTATGCTCATATTCTGGGCACATGTGTGTGCCTTGTTCCCCTTCAGTGTAGAATCTGAAGAGGTCCACAGAGAGTAAAAGGTCAATGCAGTAACAGGCTGTCATCATCCAGGGGCCCTCAGTCTCTGGCTCTTAAACACTAGCATGGTGGCCAGGCTGGAGGGCAGGACACTTGGCCAGTTGGCCATACAAATGAGAAGGCCCGGAGGAAGAGAAATAACAGCAGAAAGAGCACAGGTACTCTTTATAGATAAACTAAAATTTGTGTACTCAGGTTGGGGGGATCCTTCAGCCAGGCCTGTGCCCTCTTGCAGAATGGAGCCCTTGGAGGATATCTGATGTATGGCTTAGGCCTGCTTTCCATGGGGAGTGGGTCTAAGCTGGGAGTTGGACATCTTTAGAGGCTCCTACCAACACTGCTGCACTCCCTAGCCATGAGTCCGGGTTCTGGATGAGCGGTGCTTCCCCTGTGAGAGCATACTGATCACCAGCAGCAGGGGGCAGCTCCTGTGTTGAGCATCTGCCCCCTGGTGGTCAATGTATGTTATAGTTACCTGTTCTGCCATTCAGTCGATTTGTATAGTAGTCTGTTATTATATAGAAAACTTCTGTTGAAAAATCAGTTAAAATGACAAATAAAGACCCAATATCCATTGCACACCTGTGTATAGAGAGCTAAAGAGGCTAAGGCAGTAATTCCCATCACAGTATTCCGTGTCTGCTGGCTAAGGAAGTGGGTTTGGGGGGTAAGCATAGGAGCCCAGCAGGTAAAGATAACCTTACTCTGGCTTCCCTGAACTCATGGGTTTGGGATTCTGCAACCTAACTTATCAGGAGAAAGATTGGGCGGACTCTGATCATAAAAGCCACAGTAGCATACAAAGCTAAGAATTCCAGGCAGAGTTGGCTTTAAGAACTCTTTATCCTCAATAGTTGACTCTGGAGACATGTGCAGGACTCCTTTAGGATGATGGGCAGTTGCTCTCTATCTCCAGTGAATACTGTACAAGGAGTTGATTTAAGCTGCCTCCGAGGAGATTAAAGTGAGTGCCACGAGGACAATTAAAAATCACTAAAATCCACTTCTTGTAGAAGTACCCTTTGTGAGGGGTGTCTTTACGAAGGAATGACAGTCTGCTTTTCCTGATGTGTGGTCACCTAAAGTTAGGATAAGGATTTCAGTCCTCCTAGCCCTGAGTCTTTCTGAGGCGTTGTGTCTGCTGTGGTAGAAAATTGAGGTATAAATAAAAGGAGGGAGAGAAAAAGGCTTGATTCTGCAGTAAGAGGTTCAGTGCAGCTTAAAAGAATCTGAACTATAGTCCTGCTCTCCCCCAACCTCTCCCCTCCCCCCATTCCCTTTTTCCCCACCCCACCCCACATGCCAAGCCCAAGTTAGACCCAAGAACTCAAATCCCACTGCTGTGCTTTTCCCAAATCCCTCCTTTCTGGGCATCTAGGTACCTTCTTTCTCTGGATCGTTCCTTTATCTTTCCACAGTTTATTAGACATTAAACATTGTCATTGGAATTTAATTTTTAAAACTGGAAGCTACTTAGAAAACAGAGGCACTTTTAAAAAATGTGTTTTAAAACTACTTCCTCTCTATGATCCAGTCCATTGGGAACTCATTGCCTCCCTCTAGAGGGGAGGCAGTAAATAACTTGAATTGATAAGACATGGACAAGATTTTCAGTCATTGCTGTAGCTGGCCTCAGGCTCCTTTTGTGGAAAATAGAAGACAGTCATGGGTCCCATGGCCCATAGGGTCATTTACAATTTACTGAGCTCAGAGTATGTACTGAGTACAGCTTGTGCTCTAGGGATTCAAGCAATGAGAAGGGGGAGAGAAATCCTGTCAGGCAGCACTGAGTCAGGGTCTCTGGCATCTCCCTAACTCGGGTCTCCCAAGTGTGGCTCATAGCAGCGCAATAGGTCTGCATTGAGCTGGGCCTGCTGCACCAATGGAGCAGACAATGGGCACCTTCCTGAAGTTAAATTCTTTGTTCAAATATGAGCTGAGAGATTTATTCCTTCATAGTGTGGGCTGTTATGAGCACACCTGACTCAGACTTTCCAACAGCAAGATTTCTCTGACAGAGGCCCATGCAAGGCTTAGGCCTATGGGAAAGTGAGAGTTGAGAGTTGGTTTCATTTTCCACTGTGGAAGTTATATATATATATATATATATATATATATATATATATATATATATAGAGAGAGAGAGAGAGAGAGAGAGAGAGAGAGAGAGAGGGAAAGAGAGAGAGAGAGAGATTAAATGGTAGGGCCCAAGCTACTCCCCAATAACTACCTAACTTGGGACCTATCTAGAGCACTCTACATTCATTTATTCACGTACTTACTCACTTATCCATTTAAATGACAACTGTTCGCTTACTTTTTTACATTAGTAGTTTCCCATTGATGCTGCAGCAAATTTACTGAGTTAAAACCATTTCTATTCCTTTATAATTGTGGAGGTCAGAAGTCTGAAGTTGTGCTGCTGGCATTCTTTCTGCAATTTCAGGGAAGACCATTGCTCACCTTTTTCAGATTCCAGCATCCCTGGGCCTATGCTCTTTCCCTCCATCTTCAAAGTGCAGGACTCCAAGCTCTGGTTCCATTGTCATATCTCTTTTTTTCTGAGTTTCACCATCTCCCCTCCTTCTAGAAGAACCCTGTGACTACATTAGACCCACCCAGATAATCCAGGAAATTCTCCCCATGTCAAGATCCTCAATTTAATCTCATTTGCAAAGTTCCTTTTGCCTTATAAGGCAGCATTCACAGGTCTCTGGGATTGGGAGGTGAACGGGGGTCGGGGGGGGGGGGGGGGGGGGGGGGGGGGGGGGGGGGGGGTGGTGGTGGTGGTGGTGGTGGTGGTGGTGGTGGAGAGGAATTATTCTGTTGATGGCACTAAGTGACATATTCATCTAGCAGGCTGGCACCTAGCTAAGTGCTGGCATACCAGCCGCCTGCCTGACAGCCTTTCCTGATGCACTCAGTTGATAGGATGCTGGACAATAGGGAGAAAAGGGAAGTGATCAAATACTTTTGGAGACCCTGCCATCTGCCTCACACTTATTTTTTAATAATCCATCCATACCTAGCACCAAGGACAGTCTCATTTCATCGGGGTAATAAAACACCTCAAAAGATTGTGTGTAGAGGAGCCTGAATCACTAGAAACACCATCAAGTTCCCTTCTGCTTTATTCTTTCTCCAGGTTATTCTCTGTAGGTGGTGTGTTATATATTCTTGTCACCCAGATCACCATCTTATTTGGTCAAGTAAGTTAGGAAACATGTTAGGAAACAGAATCATAATTTTTTTAGATGTGAAAGGGGCCAATCAAGCACACATGAAATGGAGTGACAGAGGGCATCATTCCTCCAGCTTCCTCTGTGGCAATATTTAAACTCAGGCAGCCTGGCTGAGTCACCACGAATCCTAACACTGATGATGGGTTGCCCCTATAGTCCTTTTGTGTCTGTAGCTACCCTCTGTGCATCTCTGCTATAGCAGATACACTTCCTTTTGTCTCCCTTCTTCTCTGTGGAACATGAAGTGAACCCACATTGGCTAATTCATTTAGAAAGAAAGAAGTGAATGGGCAAGTGGAAACACTAACAGCTTCTGCTACTCACAGGACCTCAGAGGGTCACCCGGATTCCCTGGGTCCCTCGGTTTTCATATTTGTAAAAGATGAGGTTTGGGACTAGATTAGGGATCACAAACACAAATGCCCACAGTTGCCAAATAAAAGTGGGTCATGTAGCCCTAGCTGGTTTGTCTCAGTGGAAGGACTGAAGGGCTTGATCTCTGTCAAGGGCACATGTCCAGTTGTGGGCTTGATCCCCAGTGTGAGGTATGCAAAAGGCAGCCGATCAATGATTCTCTCTCATCATTGGTGTTTCTCTCTCTCTCTCTCTCTCTCTCTCTCTCTCTCTCTCTCTCTCTCTCTCTCTCTCTCTTTCTCTCTCTTTCTCTCTCTCTAATTGCCAAAAAGAAGTGGGTCAGGTCTGAGAAGAATCAAGTGTTCTCTTGGGGTTTGCCTTCTATTTTTCTACCGTAGATAAGAAAACAGATACAAAGATAGGTTTTTTATTTGTTTTTATTTGTTTTGTGTTTAATAAAATACAACATTCTTGCTTATTAAGTAGCAACCCATACTGGGTTTAATGCCAAAGGACAGTAGGGAGTGGTGGAAACTGAGGCAAACTGGGGAGTCACTGTCAGGCCTGCAGGCAGCAGTCCCAGCCCAGCTGCGGCAGAGTCAGATGCCCCAAAATGTGGACAGATGGCCACATGGTTCAACAGATGAAGTTCAGTTTGATGAGCAGTTTCTCAGTCTGCAAATAAGGCTTATTTTTTTTAATTTTTTTAAATTTAATTTT